AGTTAACCTAAAAAAGTAACCGAAACGGAACAGCCGGAACGAAGAAAAGGAAGATGCCTCGCGGGAGATCGTCGACAGAGTACCGCGGATGACCGGGAGAGGTATGAGGATCATCGCCGTCGCGTTGGATGGTCGAAGTGGCTCGTGCGCAGCTAGACACCCGCCGTCGGAACGATTCCCGATAGGACCAGCCGCCGTCCGTCGGTCGAGCATCACCGCGCGGATTCGCCGCGACGCACCGGTGAGAATTAATCCCATCGTCGCGCGCGGTGACACGGGCAAACAGTGAAGTGAAACGGAAAAAGTGCCGAGGAGAGGAGAAGTGGTTGTTCACGGTGGAGGGTGGAGGGAACGGTGTGCAAGGGGTCGCCGCCGTGGGCCCCGGAGATGACGCGATGATGGCCTACGGAGGAACCACCGGCAACGGTGGCGCGATGGGACCCTCGTCCGCCGGCACGGACGTTTTGGGCTCCGCCGGCGATTACAGCCCGCAGGGAACCCCGACGCCCCTCACGGGACATTCCGCGGGACCCGTTGAGGCAACCACCTACGGTCCCGCCGGAGGGTCCGCCAGCTACAGTCCCCAGGACAGCCCGGCGAGCACCGGCGGCGGCGGCGGAAGCGGCACCAATGGCCAGCTACCCAGCTTCGGCTTCACCCAGGAACAGGTCGCCTGCGTTTGCGAGGTATGCGGCTTCCTCGTGTGACGGTTGTTTTGCTTGGACTTGAGTTTGAGTTTACGTTCAACGCGAGTGACGGTGGCCGGGAATTTTCGAGTTGGACGTCTGGGAGTATGGGAGTCCGATAGTTTGAGAATTCGAATTTCAATAGTTGAAAATTGTTGGGAATGTTCGTTGCCGGAAGGTGCTCGGGTACCGACGGGTAAATGATGACGTGACAGGCATGGTATGTTCAGTTTTCGTTTGAAGCATTCTTTCAGTCTGACAGCTATTACTGTGTTGTTTGTGACCTTGATTAAACGGATCATTGCTTGCTATTTATATCTGTGGGCCTACGACATTTTTTGTACTTTCCTTGTCAGTGGAATTGACAGTTGCAATATTTTCAATCGTCTGAAATCTAATGTTTGATATATAAAGATTGAAGGAACTCCAGTATTTTTGTACATCAGTATTTCCAATAGCTGTGCTTTCCAATAGGTTAATACATCATTTTGCTCTCTTCTCATCTATTTGAAAAATCTGAAAAAAAAGAATAAGTATTGAAATGTTAGACAACGAAGACAAACGTCACATTACACAATTTTCAACGATAAAAGGGTTTCATTGGTCGAGGAACGGTTCAAACAAGAAATCACCGGATGTTCAATTCGAAATTTACTCTTCCGAGCGAAGTACCAATTGGTCGACGAAGAATCTCGCGCGCGGTGTTGGTTGGCACGGCCCGACGGAAGGGTGCAACGCGTCGGTTTTCTTAGCACGTCGCGTCGCGCGGCCCGCCGGTTCTCTGAGGCCACCGAAATAATTTTGCAATCCATGTTTCGTTATAGCCGCGCACAGACGGACCCGCGACGCGCTGGTAGTATCGATAAAATAACGTGCGAAGCAGCACTTAACCTCTTGGCCACCGCGATCGACTGTTCGCGAGATACTTAACAGCACCCTTAACGTGAATTTATGCACCTTGCAATGGGATGACGAAACTAGCCCTGAAATTCTCTGTGCCTCAAGGTGTATCGTGCGCAACATTGTACAGCACCGCGCCAAGATTCACTCGCGTGTCACGCGGCTAATGGAGTTCATGCGTTTTTACTGCGACCATAAATTGTTTTGTGTGCGACGTTTACGTTCCTCGCGTGCGCGCAGGAATTTTGTTTCTTGCGTTTTCGAATATCTCATTCCCGAACGCGAAACCTCGTTTGTCAAACCGCGGGTTCGAATCTCCTCCGTCGAGCATCGACGTGGAACGAAGACGCGACGCGGTAACCGCTTCCGGTTAATCCATCATGGCGTCGCGTTCGAGCCGATCGAACGGGAAACGGAGGAAAAAAAAGGGTCCGTTAACCATTGACACACTACAAGAATGGGCGCGCCGCGAGGAACGTCCGCGTCCGCACACGGTTTTCCCATAAGCGCGTTACGCACACGGCTAGACGTTTTAACTCCTTGCCCACGTCACATGGATATCCATCCACCCAGACACCCCCACCCCGTTCTCCATAATTTACGACAAAAGGTTTCGCGTTTTCGATAAACTACCACTGCCGCGGCTGCCGTCGCGTCGGCTTGGAATGGAATCGTTTAACGGGTAATTACACTCGGACGGTAATAAGAAAAGACGCTTAGAGAGTGGTCTAAAGAGCGTTTACGATCGCGCCTCTCAATAATTCAAGGGTTCGTTTAAAAGCATACCGCTGCCGGCTTGACGTTTACAGTTATTAAACAATCACGCGACCGCGAGGCGCAGCACTCCTTCGGAAAAACGAGGGAGAAAAAGAAAAAGTTTACCCGCGACCCGTGAGATGTCACTCGTCCCATTACGTGGCGTTAACTCGCGATTACACCGTGAGACGTGGGCGCTAGTTGTCTTGTATCATACGAACAAAAAGAAAAAAAACAACCGTAGATTTCACGTTCATGAAGGAACGTTGTCTATGCTATTCTTTTTTTCTCTATCTCTCTTTCCCTCGTTCGCCGCTGGGTGCCGTTCACCATCTCTATTTGTTCTCTCTTTCTCTCTTTGTATCTCTCTCTCTCTCTCACTCTCTCTCTTCTCGCGTCGTCGTGCTACCTGTTTTCGAGACCGAAGACAAATCGATCCTCCCTCGAGTGTGTGTGTTCCTCTCGCGGTCTGACTCTCGAGTGCGGAACGAGAGGTCTCGAAACGAGATGGAACGAGACGGGACGGAGAGTAGCGTGTAAGTCCCCCGGTTTCGGTTCGCTCGTACGGTTGATTTGTCGTCGGGCAATCGAAAGCTTCGTACACCGTCATTAAGGTCCGATCACGATCGGCCCGTCGTCCATTTCTCTGGGGCTTTCGACACGGCTCGTTTCTCATTATGCTCGGGCATTTCTCGCGCATCGTGATTAATCGGTCGTCAAGGGGACA